CCCACAACCCCCCCCTCCCAGACCCCCTCCCGTGGGCTCTTTGGTGCAGGTCTTTGCTTTCCATCCCAACGTCGGACCGCGGTGCTGTTCAGCAAACCCGAGCATCCCGGGCAGCGATGTGTGCCATGGGGTGGGGATGGAGGGGGGGGGGTTGTGTGGGGCTGTGACGGTGCTCTGCCCCCCCAGCACAGCCTCCCCCCCGCCCCCATGTCACACAGGGTCAGAGGAGGGGGCTGCCCACCCCGTGAACCCAAGGATGGATGCTGGGTAGGGGAAGCGGCCCCGCAGCCCTACGAGCCCCACTCTGCGTATGGGGCAGAGCTGTGGGAGGTGGTGGTTGGGTGGGTGGGGGGGGGAAACTGGGGGTCAGAGCCGCAGCGGGGACGGGTTGCGCGTGCTCGGGGCCTGCAGCTGGTGTCAGCAGCGCGGATAAACAACCGGAGAGAGGCGAAGACAAGCGGCTCCTCTGTTCCAGACCCTCCGTGAGCAGCATCTCCATCCTCCGGCGCGGTGGGGGCCGCTGGGTCACAGCCCCCCCCATCCCCCCATCCTCACCCCACCCCCCCTACGGCGCTGTCCGTAAGGTGGGCAGCGAATTGCCGGCCTGGCGCTGTGGGATCGGAGCCACGCGGGATGCGGGATGCGGGATTCGGCCGTCGGGGCGCAGCGCCGGGGCGGTGGTTGCGGTGCACAGAGCAGCCGAGCAGCCCCAGCTCTGCGCTGATGCTCCCCCCCCCCCCCCCCCCCCCCCCCCGGGTTGGGTGCCGCCGGTTCTCCCCCCCCATGGCGCCGATGCCGCCCATCCCCGCTGCGCTCCCAAGCCCTTTGCCCACCCGTCCCCCGCTGCTGGCACAGATCCCCGTGCCCCCCCCGCACTCAGCTGCTCCCGGCGCAGCTCCCGGATCCCCCCCCCTCCCCCGAGGGGCAGCACCCGTCTGGCTCCGGCCGGGCTGTGCCCACGGGGTGCCACGCAGCGGGCGGTGCTGATGGGCATCGTGTAGGGGGCTGAGGGCGCTGCCCCCCCCCTTCCCAGCACCCCGATCCTGGCTGCGCCCCCACTGCTGCCGTGTGGGTCTGCATCACCCCAAAACCGCCGTTTGGAGCTGATATTGGCAGCTCCTGCATCCCTTCCCCCGCGCTGCTCCCCGATGGGTGCCGGATGGGGGGGGGAGGAGTGTTGGCAGCCCCCCCAAAGAGGCTTTGGGCTCCGGCTTGGCCGCATTCCTCGGCCTGGAGAGTTCTGGTGGAGGGAGGAGCGCGGCCGGAGCGCGGTGTGACTCAGCCGTGGGGACACTCTGGGGACACTTGTGGGGCCATAACGCGCCCTCCGTGCCCCCCCCCCTTCCCCCATAGCGCTGTGGGGCCGGGATTGATCCCGCTGGCCGCTGCCCAGAGACCCCCCAGTGTGCTGCGGGGGGGAGGTGGGGGAATTGACCCCTGGGAGCCGCCGCGGACCCCGAGTTATGATAACAGACACAGCGTGACCCCGCGCTGCTCATCCTGCGGGCACCGCGACCCCGCAGCGCCGGGTGGGGGGGCGGGGGGAGGAAGAAGGGCAGGACACGGAGCAGCGCTGCGGGAAGGGAATGCGGGATCCCACGCAGTGCCGGTGGAAGCAGGGCTTGACGCGGGGCATTCCCACGGGGATTTCCAGCTGGGCACCCTTTCTCTCTCTCTCTCTCTCTTTCTCCAACCCCCCCCTCCCGCCCCGCCCGGTGCCAGCATTGAGAAGCGAGGGCTGCGGGGCAGCGTGCGGGGCCGGGACCGCGCGGGGAGGGGGGGTGCGGGGTCGGGAAGGATCTCGCAGCGCTTTCCTCGCTGGAAATAACTTTCTCCGTAACGCGGCGAGTGGGCGGCGGTGATTTCAGCGGAGACGTGGGCTGAGCCCAGCCCGGGGAAGTGGGGAGGGGGGAGCGGTTGGGATGAGCTGCAGGATTCACCTCCAACACCCCCCTCTTTCCCCCCCAGCTTTGGGGCTGGCTGTCCCTAGAAAGTCTCCCAAGTGCTGGGCTGTGGTCCCGCGCCCACCGAGGACGCGAGAAGGTCAACCCGTGGCAGCGCTTTGGCCGCGGTTTCCCCCCTTTCCCCCCCCCCAACCAGCACACCCGGAGCTCGCGGAGGGGGCAATGCGGTGACCTCAGCGCTGGAGCCGGGATCCCTGGGTCACCCCGCGTCCTCCCACCAAGCAAATGGGGCAACTTGTGGGAAGGGACCCCGCAGCCCCCACCCCCCCATTTGTGTGGCACCGCTCATCACCCCCAGCCCCGCAGCCGTTCTATTTCTGCCCCGTGACTCAGGGATTTCGGCAGGTTCGGGATTGGGGGGGGTGGGGGAAGGGAGGAGGCTTTTTCTTTAGCCAAAACGAAAGGGGCGGCCGCGTCCCTCCCCTCCCACTCAGCAGCGGATTATTATTAACCCGGCCGTCCCACCGCCCCTGTTTGCAACAGCGCTGTCCCATGACCGCTCTGTGACATCTTTCCGGTCACTCCGATGGGAGATCTGACAGAGCACGGCCACGGGGTCCCCGTGAGTCACCCCCAGATTGGTGTCACCGTGTGCCCGCCGCATCCCCAGGAATGGAGCCGCCGCATGGGGTGAAGGGGGGGGGGAACATCCCGTAGCTACGGGGGGGTGCAGCTCTGTGCTCACCCCAACATCCGCCCTCTGCCTTCCCTGCAGCCGCAGCACTGATTGTTATCACCAGCAGCACAGATGTGGCCCCACTGGTGGTGCAGACGTGGCCCTATTGTGGAGCTGTCACCACTGTCTCCCTCTCCGGCTGCCCCCAGCTCTGCCCTGACCTCCAGTCTGCACTCCGTTCTGGATCCCCATCCCTCCATCCTCCTTGGGTCAGCTCAGCTCCAAGCAGAACCATCACTGCCATCGGCTGCTCCGTCAAAGCGTGGATGAGGGCAGCTGTCACCAACACGTGGCCCGTTGTCACCGTTGTCACCGTTGTCACCGTTGTCATGTTGTCACAGCACACAGCAGCATTTGCGGCATCTCCCGCTTTCCTCTTCCCCATCCTGGTGTGACCAACACTCTGTGAGCCAACATTTGGCCTCACGGCAACTAATTGCTTCCAGTCGTTTGCAAAACAACAACAGCAACGAGCAGGAAAACCCCAAAAAGCAGAGAACGGGTTCGGTGCGCGCCCAGCGCCGTGGCACAGCGATGGCTTTTGTGTCCCCAGAGCTGGGAGACCCACAGCCCCATCCCCACACAGAGCTCCTCCAGGACATCCCTGCGCACACTTCTGGGTGTGCAAAACCACAGGAGCTCGTGCAAGCGTGGAGCTGAGTGCACACACATCTGTCCCTGCACGCCCATGGGGATGAATGCATCCCATAGATCCGTCCCTGCACCCACACCCTGCAGCCCCCACTGCAATGGGGGGGTTGGCCCTGCTGCAAAACGAGGGTTGCTGATGGAGCAAACTTGCACTGCCCCGCTGCTGCTGCTGCTCCCGGGGGGCATTTTGCAAAACCATGCAGGATTTCCTGCAGGAAAACTTCATTGCAGCACGGCGCCAAGGCGCGCGGTGGTCGGTGTGTGTGCACACTGCAAGCAGGGCTGTGCTTGTGTGATGGTGCACGGTGCGTGCAAGTGGGTGTGCACAGAGGAGCCTGTGCACCAGGAGATGCTTTTAGAGGTGCAGACGTGTGTATTTCAGCCTGCAGGTGCGTGTGCTGTGTGCTTCTGCACAGCTGTGTGTGCGCCTCAGTGTGCGTGTGGGTGTGCAGGTGTGTCTGTGTGTGTGCAAATGTGTGCGTGTTCCAGGGGATGTGTGTGCACACGAGCAGGGCTGTGCGTGCGTGTCACAGGGTTGTGTGTGCTGGCACGTGCGTGTGCATACGCACACATCCCAAGGGGCGTGCAAGCAGTTGTGTGTGTCCATGTGTGCGTGTTCCAAGGCTGCGTGTGCGCATACACGTGTGCAAGCTCCAGGGCTGTGCATGCATGCAGCTGTGTGTGTGCATATGTGCGTGTTCCAAGGGGCGTGAGCGTGCATACAGGTGTGCAAGCTCCACGGCTGTGTGTGTGTGCATGTCCCAGGGTTGTGCACGCGTGTGCAAGCGCACGTTCCAGGGAGCGTGCAAGCAGCTGCGTGCGTCCACGTGTGCGTGTTCCAAGGGCCGTGCGTGCACAGACACGTGTGCAAATCCCACCGTGTCTGTGTGTGTATGATGAGGGAGGGGGGGGGGGGGGGGGGGGGGGGGGGGGGGGGGGGGGGGGGGGGGGGGGGGGGGGGGGGGGGGGGGGTCTCCCCGTGCCCACCGGTCGGGGCCGAGCGGAGCCGAGCGGAGCCGAGCGGGGCAGCGCCGCCGGGATCTGGCCGCCCGCCAGCCCTGTTCTCATAAACCACATGCTGTCAGCGGCCCTATAAAGGGCAGCGCGGCGGCGACGGCGGACTCAGCCCGGCCCCGCTCCCGCACTCAGCCGCTTTCTCCCGCACCGCCCGACCCGCCGCAGCCCCGGCCCCACGGCAGCCCCCATGCCCCGCCTCGGATCCCAGGTACGCCCGCCGCCTCCTGCGGTCGTTCGGGGTGTCCCCCCTTCCCCCCCCCCTCCTCCCGCTGCCACCTGTGTGCCCCCTCCTGTGCCCCCCTCCCTCCCAACCCCCACGGATGTTGCGCACGGGGACGTGGCGGTGCGGACCCCCATCCGGCCCCGTCCCAACGCCGCCATCGCCCGATCGCTTTCGCTTTGCCATCCCGGTGCCGATCGGAGCGGTTCCTCGCGGGGCGCGGTCCCGGCCCGGTCCCCGCCCCCATCCCGACGCTCTGGGGCTCCATCCCGCTCCCCATCCTCAGCCCGGTCCCCGACCCGGCGGATCGAGGCTCCGTCCCCATGCCCGGTCCCCATCCCCATCCCATGGCCCTGCTCTCTCCCC